GCACGCGTCTCGAATGCTGAAAACGCTGCCGCGCGTTCGTTAGAAACACATTTCTTGCCTGAATTCTCGGAAATCTAAAAGCTGAAAAGTCTCTGCCGGGAAACGCTCAGAGAGTCGAGGGCTGCGTTCACGAATGTCTTGCCGGGAGTTTAGAGCATCTCGGTGTCGCAGTTTGACGCGGGTGCGGATTTACGTAGCGATACGGTCGCCGAGACTCGCTTGATGAAATCTTTTACCAAGGAAGAAAATATACCTTACGTACCACTGCAAGTCGTACGTTCGCGCGTCGATAAGTAAGATTCCTGTAAATTGTCATTTTTACCATTGCTCAGGGCATTCGATGCTTCGCAACGGCGAAGGCTTTGACGTAGTCGTGATGAATTTTGCACGTGACGCCTCGAGAAAGTTCTAGAAATAGATTGACAATAGTATTCTCTTTTATTTGTCCTTAAAGAGCGAAATGTATTTTCTCTCTCTCTCTCTCTCTCTCTCTCTCTCTCTCTCTCTCTCTCTCTCTCCTTATCACGTCCTTTTCATACCTCCTCAAGAACACCCACAGCGAACGCGGATAATCACTGTCCGGATAATCCAATCCACAGCCTGTATCGAGGAAAAGGAACGCGGACGGCTGTCGTTTAATTAAAAATTTCACCGCTTTTCTTTCGAGACATCCAGCCGAACGCCACATATGGTTTCCTCCTGTTGAGACGGCCGACAATCGACCTACTTCTCGCAAACGTCTTCTAGACGCGCACACGGTCGCCTACACGTACCCGCTTAACCCCCTGCACATGCATTCACAACCGTTCAGTCACTTATTAACGCATTCATGAGAATCTCCATCCGTATCTACCTACCTGTGGGGCCGCCTTAGGGACTTGAGTTTCGTAACGTGCTAACAGAACGCCAGTAACGCGCGAGGCGTAACGCAGCGCTGAGCATTCTGGAGAAATTTTATCATTATTAAACTCAATAATAACAATTACGTACAAGACTCGATTCAAGATGGCCGCCGTACTTGAGCTCATTCGCATACACTGTTTCGCCAGGCATAACAAAGGATTGTCTGACGATCACTGACCGTGCAACGTAATACCCACAGCAGAGCGTTAATTATGCGTCTGAGCAAGGGTAGACACTCGTATTTCAGGAGCATTAGGGGAATCTGTGCATGCGGCTATACACCCTTCCGATATGTATACATATATATATATATATGCATACGTGGCTATGTTGTCAGCTGTTACGTCACAGTGCGTACATACAGATAGCGTTATACATATGGGAACCTATAAAGCAATGCGATTGCGTACTCGCATATATATATATATATATATACACACACACAATATACACCCACATATATTCTAAGTATGTAACGAACTTGTGGATATATCGTTGATACCGCTACGTCCGCATACTCATTAATCGAAGTATCAATTAAATTACGTCCTAGGATTAATCTTGGGATTAATTTTGATTTGTTGACTGATAAGTCAATTGGTATAAGAGAATACATATATCGTTCGTTACTACCTGCAATCGGTACAACGGACTTTCTTGATTTAAACTATCGACGTATCTTATCCGTATGTACGCTGATAAGGACTTAACAGCTATACGCCGGTGCCGGAGCGTTCTATCCGCCTCATGAATATTTATCCGATATTCCGACAATCAGTTTCGTGCCACGTAGCGCCTCCCGCGATATATTCGTTGTGCTTCGCGTTATTCGTCGCGTCAGAAAATTGTGTACGCGTCCTTTCCGTAATGGCCTGTACGTTGGCACTCGCGCTCGTCGCGTGAAACGCGAAATCCGAGGGAACAAAAGTGACGCTACGTGAAAGCTTGCAACGTGCTCCGCAAGCAGTGACTTTCGTTCGTATTGTTAAGCGATAGGATTTGTTTTGCACGTAATAAATTGGTCACGCGTAGAAAAAAAAAAAAAAGCAGTAAGAACAGTTAAAAGTCCGAAGCGTTTCAGTCGTATTTCCATGTAGTCTGTCGGTGGGAGAGACACTGTGTACTTTTTAATAGGACGTTACGACAAGACCGTGAAATTCATACGCTGCCGCTGAACGTTACGATAAATCGGTGCCGGGCATCGATACGTTTCGTAATTTTGTTTTCAATTTGACAATCTGATTGTTTGGTTCCTCGAGTCGCGTGGTGGAATGTGTGACGCCGGGGGTCTCGGCGAAACTGTCGTTCGGTATTTCGCGTTGGAGGAAAAGCTGGGATGCCGGGCCCCCGGGGTACGTCGGTGCGTGAACGTGCGGCAATGCGGCGTAGAGACGCGCGCGTTTCCACGGGACGACTGTTGTAGTCCAGTGCGCGATGGTATGTCTAGATAACCCCTCGCTGGGAAAGTCATAGACTACATAAAACACATGTCGGTATCGTTACACGTCGAGTGCCTGCGCGCACTATTAATAGGTGGACGTACTCTCTATTACTCTTGATTAAGTCCATTGCACAGGGCAATGGCATTATGCGATAACGTTGCACGCGCGCGCTTACGCAGACCGCGGGACTCTCGCGCAACTATTTTAATTGGCCGGCACCGCGCATGAGAGTTCGTTTGTGCACCGTGGAGTCGTAGAGGCAAAGCACATCTTTCTTGCTTCTTTACTCCTTGGGTCGACTCCTTCGGTTACGCACGCTGCGTTCTCTGTCGCGCTAATCTCAGCGCCTGTAATCTTGCGTCTGTTTACTCTTCGGAGTTCTCGCGCGTATTGTCACTCCGAACTAATCCGTTAACGATATTTATCAAACGTTAGTCTTTCTCGTATTTTCGGCGGAATCGAATATGTTTTGTACATGTATATCGCGTGCCGGAGAGAGAAAATAGTTTCCCGCGCTCTTCCTTACCGACTGTGGTATTTTGCTTGAGAACGCATAGGACGCTTTCAGAGGCACGAAGCGAAGTAAATAAAAGCGGAGGATCGGTGCCCACTGTGCTTCCTGGTAACTCGAGGACCCTTTTCGTGGCTTAAATGCTAACGAGAGACCCATATCCTTTCTCGAGGACCCAGGAGCTTTCTTTAATGTGCTGTAGACCGTTGCTAGAACGCGTGTCAGGAGGAACAGAATCTTTTGTAGTTTCGTCTGGACACGCCAGATGGAACTACTATCGAGTAATAAAGTGTAGCAACGAACGAGGGGTAGCAGCCACTAGTCCTGGATAATCCTTAGGGATGCGAGAGAGACCTAGGGTAGTTTTGGTGAAACGGATATTTCTCGTTTATCCAACCATCGGTTCTCTTGGCGTCGTGTGAACTCGTGTGTACAGTAGAATCTCGTTGAGTGCTCGCTTCTTCGATCACTTATATCTTTCATCTTGACGCATCCGATTCGTCCCTAGTATCACTTACCAAGCGTAACTTACTGTGGAAACATAGAAAGGCTACGATAATAAGGACAATGAATCCTGAAGGGACTGTTAAAAAGTGGCAGCTCTCGTTAACTCTTCGTTTTCTTCAAATTGTCCTCCTCTACGTCCTCAATAACGTACACTTAACAAAAGTCTATATGGTGTGACGAAGTTAAATTTTTTTTTCCTTCGAGTAAACTAATGTACGTCGATCAGGGTAGATAAAGTTTATACTGTGCGCCGGTGGGTGACGCATTAATTTTACGATATTACTTTGCCGGGATTTCTTATAGGCACGATGCCAATGAGTAGGACTTTAATGCCCGGTCCTGTTTGTTCTCATAACGAGACAGCGAGCAGGGAGTAACGGAGCAGATGCGCATGTTGAGCCGAGAGTGAATCTGGAGCAAGAGTTAAAAAATGTCAAGAGCCTGCAAGGTTCGAGTGAACCATCATTAGCCTTACACTTTCTACGTTTATACAGTATATATATATATATATATATATATCTTAGTCTATATTTTCTTCTTGCTAAATACCTAGGCTAATTTTTATTATTTTTTCCCGAAGTTCATCCTATACACTAAACCGTATTTTCATTCCTCCTTACATCAAGTACATTTACCGTCTAACGAGTCTATGCAGTTGGGCTCAACTTAGCCGGTATATATAGTATGCACGTGGTGTGCATTTACCATCGATTGCTTAGGACTCTCACGTCTTTTACGGTACGCGCAAGACTTCCCGGTACCGCTGCTGCGAGATCGTCCTTTACCCATAATACCAGGAACGGCGTCGTCTTGGCGAGCTTCGTGCTATTTTCGTGACGTCTCGACGGCCTCCTGTCTTTCGCTTCCCGTCGCATTCGATGCTGAATCGACACTGCACGTTGCCAACAGCTCGCATAAAGCACTGACTTCAGGACGGAAATAACGTCACGTCGTTTATCGTGTACATAGAGCCCCTGCTACCACGTGGCTCCCTCGGTTCCGACTTTACGAGCGTTTACAATCCGGCCTGACACCTCCGTCACATTATTTCGCCCACGATAATTCCAAAAATTTTCGAGATTTCTTATAATCAACAAGTTTTTCCATGATCTAAGGAAAAATAATTATCACGCATATAAATCTATAATTTCCAGATAGTATAAAAATATAACGTGCACATGTAAATGTGTACGTATGTATCTATAACGAAGAATAAACGTATATTCGTCCACGAGTCGACGTCCACTTTTCCCAGAAAGGCCAGTCCTCTGTCGCCGTAGATCGTCGCGGGCAGTGTCTTGCTCGATTGACCGCTAATTATGCCACGGAGTAATTAACGCTAATTGCTTGGCGTGCATTCGCCCGGCACTGACTCTTATCGCAAACCGTGCACACAGCACTGCGCGGCGACTCCACGAAGAGAACGGGCCCCTCGCCCATAGCTTCCCTTTAATCCCCAAACAGGAATTGGCAACACTGCCAGTATATATTGGTATTAGATACCCACGTGGTATATCCTCCCTATAGGTATACGAATTGCATTGGAAGTCTACCTGGCTTCGAAACACGTATAACCCGGCTACTACCTCGCTCTACGTCACAGTGGCAACGCCTGTCTCCGAGACACGAGTCGCGCCAACCTGAAACGTCCCTTTTGACTGAGCACGTAAAAATTCGATGTCCCGACCGGAGTGAAGTTTGTCAACGACATCGGAAACATGAAAACACCGAGTAGTCAGCTTTCAAACAACTTGACTGATACTTCCGTGGCAGTGTGTACCTTATAGGAAGGAACCTAGAGAAAACAGAGTGTAGAATGGAAAAGACGTTGGATCGTGGGTAAAACCAGCCGTAGGCGCTGTTGAACGACGGATTTCTGCGTGTATATGCACAATGTCACGTGACTTACTCGGTACCCGATTAATAAGGCAGAAAAGGTAAAACACGAGTGTGGCGTGAAGTTCGCGCATTCTTACCCAGCACAATAGAGCCATTCGCCGTGGGTCAGCGCGACGCGTTAGCCGTACGTGCAAAGCCTGCGCTATTATCGCAGACGCGACCCCTTCGTGACACAATTAACACGAACTTACAATAGCTCGACTTTGCTTACGTTTATTCTCACCTACGCATTACCCTGGATGGTATGTGACTTTTTTTTATTGATAATTGTTCCGACACGCTCGGATACGCGACAAATATAGCCATTGCCAGGCGGAGTGGTTCGCATTGCAAAATCTAAATAGTACCCGTCTATGACACCCGTGCGATGATTTCTAAAGGATATGGATCGCGATGACGTATTTGACGCCGATCGTAAAATTCCATCGGTCGAATCGGCCGCGTGGAATTTATTGAGAAAATAGACAGTCGAGAACTCTCTTTCGTATTGACAGTCGACGACGACATGCCGATGCACTCGCGTTGCGCTGATATTTTTACGTAATCGAGGCTCGAGCTGCAACGATATTATTAGCGTGTATCGCGACAGTCTCCATAACGCTAATTAATACAGCCGTCGTAATCTAACGGACGCACCACTTAGGCGGTCGGTGAACGTAACTCGTGAGTCATCCGGTATGACTTTTCTATTGACTGTGTGCACGATGCGAGGTGGCACTTGATACCGAAAAGCGCGTGGTTTTCTAACTAGTCTCTTGAAATTCAATAGCCCTGTGTACTATTGACTGATACTCGTATCCGTGATAGGTCAGGTAGGTATATACACGCGGTTATCGGGTTTTCCGTAGGAAAACAAAAGGTCGGCTACTCCTGCTGAAGTGGCTAGTCAAGTAATTGGGCCTGTGTAGCGTCTTCGCGACACGCAACGTTAAGCTCTTTGCCAGAGACGTAAAAGCTTTTTCGCGTCTGACTTTTCTTGGTACCGAGCGAACGGAGTTTTATCAGGAGCGCTCAGGGTACAGAGGGTAGGCAGAATGAAAGAAAAATAACGGGCTAATGGAAAAAGAGGGAAGTAGCTGGGCATTGAACGAAGCACTCTTAGCAATGGACACTGTATTAGATACTTGTCGTAAATTGCGATTGAGTTGGGTCAGTGACCTTTGACGAGCGTCCGAAGTTAGCCTCGATCCAATGAATTTTTAGGTTAGTTAATCGTTACTCTTGTCTGGCCACTTGGACTTTATGTTTTTAGATGGGAGTGCTATAATAGATCTGTGCTTGTGCCAGACGGAACATACGAGGTATATCTCGCAGGATGTATCTAGGTCTTACCTAGATTAGAACCAGGTCTAATTTCATAATTCCAAGCACATATTTCGAATACCGGGGCCCCGCCGGTTTGCGCACTTCGTCCAATCGTCATCTGGTCTGCTCTTAACGCGATCATCCGTTACTTACGAGTCCCCAACTGGGACGCAGCGACCCGTGCGGGACGCGTTGATTCTTAGACTAGCGGATTCTTCGAGGACTCGTACAGTTTTTCACTTGGACCTTTAATATGGTATATGCCGAAGTTGTACTATAGGAAAAGTATGAGATCTGTGTAGAGCTGAAAAATTGGCTTTTCGTCCTATACTGATTGAAATGGTCGGTCGAACTCGAGATACTTTAATTACTGAAGAAATCTCATTAGTCGGGTCCAGCTGGCTTTGCGAGTTAATTAACTTTGCAGTCGTCATCCAATTTCTGACTCGGACAAGCATCACGAGATAAATTGCGAAGCAGGAAACTGGAAAATAAGAGACTCTAGGATGATGATCCTTTGAGATGCAGATTTTTCGTCGACCAGTCTGTTGAAGTCGCGTTGAAAAAATTCTCCTGAATTCCTTTATCTCACAGATAGACACTTATTACCCGAATCTTCGTATATGCTTGTGTCTTAAACTTTTTTCACGGGAAGCTGCTTCGGCCCACGTTTTAGACTGTTCGTGACGTTCGGTGGAGGTTAGAGTAACACGTTCCTTTACGAAATTTAATTTTACCAGCGATTCTTATAAGATTTTTATCCGGCAGTATGAATCGATGTTTATCTTTTAGAATGCTTCATTTTCGTTAAACGAATTTGAGGTATCATTTTTTATTAATATCACAAAGGCACGTGCACGGTCTATTCTCGTGGGGTTGATACAGGGCAGTCCTTCTCTCCGAACTAACCTAAAATTAAATAAGACGAATGTTATCAAGGACCCTTTTAAGTTGGATAAAGTAGACACGATAAATACGAGTCGGACTCTTTTCGCTGGAAAAATATTATTCGTTTGCCCATCCGTTTGCATGATTGCTTAGTTTACCGAGAGTCTTCCGGCCGGCGGTCCCCTCCCTGTTATACCAGTGACGAAAGCGAGCGCGTCCCTTTCGGAATACGAATTTTTATTTGAAACGACCCGCGCGCCATCTTCATTCGTCACTGCGAGTTACGACTTTTATTACATTGTTATCGATATTACAGTACCCGTAAATATTTTAATTCCCGAAGATAACTAACCTAACTTCGATTGAAAAAAAATTATTACGTGCAGATTTGACTTTCATTATTCGGGTCCATCCACTATTTCAAATTTGATTATTTTTCTGTAAATAAATTCAACCTGCCTCTCGTACCCTTTGGAAGTAACAAATTAGGACTGTAAAACAGGCTTAAGAGAAACTAACGGCTCCCTTGCACCACGTAGATCATTACAGAGCAAAAATCGTCAACTAACGAGTTATAAGAGCCGTTACGGTATATACTGTTTGGTACAGGCGGTCGAAAGTCAATTAACGAAGTGTGAAAATAACTAAGTATTTCGAGAGCACTTAATTCACATAATACTCGTAGCCGTGACTGAGTTCAAAAGGTATTTTGTTATTGGAGCATATACGATTTGTAAAGGGGAACGTCTCCGGTACAGCTGTGAGTGATGGCTGTAAAACGTGTTTGAAGTTGAGGAAAAAAAATTAATGAGAACAATCGATACAGCTTTTGACAAATTAAAAATCGTTAATTCCCGTTAACCAAAGAAACGAGATTCCGTCTGCGCATGCATTCGTACAATTTGTCGGTGCATCCAAAATGCAAAATATCGGTGCAACGAAATTGGGAACGAAGTTTGCGGCGAGTTGCTTGATACACGTATTCCTTAGATACTTCGCTTTCCTCGGGTCCGAGGACCTTGTAGATATACTTTGCATACTATATATACGTATGCGTTGTATATATATCCCTATTATGATTAAACTTCGTCAACATTCCAATTGCCGCCTAACTGCTTCTCCAGCAGTACAAAAGATCCACTGGGTCCAGAGGCTTGCGATTTACATGCGTCCTTTTTACACACGATCCTCAATTCCCCTCAAGAACCACCCAAAATTTACATGGGAAATTCGTTAACGGCAGTGGTCGACGATCGATTTTCACTTTGGCCTCTGCGCTCGGTAATCGTGTTCGCCTTTCTGGAAACACGCGCTGCTTTATTGCCGTATGGCTAATTTTTTCGAGCGAGCTCTCCCGGGCACGTGACACTTCGCTAGAGGAATTTTCTGTAATCTACTATTTTATATATATATATATATATATATATATATATATATATATATAAAATATATATATAAAATAGTATATTGACTTATTTTAAATTATTTTAAATTTTCTATAATCTACTATTTTATATATATATATATATAAATATATATATAAAATAGTAGATTACAGAAAATTTCTATTATATATATATATATATATATATATAGTTTTTCTTCTGCTTAATCGATCTTCGAAATTTTTTTAAGTATCATATATCGTACTACCAACATGATTTATCGCACGTAACACCACCCGTCGTTACTCGCTACGCGCAAGACTTTCCCGGGCAATGGTAGCCATTTTCTACGTAATACTTTCTCGTAGTCGTAAGTAAAGCTGACAAAAAAAATAACGGAACCCGTTTCGTCCTTTGTTACAGATATCCGGTCGTTAATTCCTCCTGGGAGTGGATGCCATACCCGTGGACGTGAGTATACACAATGTTCATTTAGCCAAAACCCTTTGTAGCTACTGTACAGTGAGTGAAACAGATTAGCTACACATTACAAAAGTGTCGATCGCTTTTTTACGGCCGGTTGGATCCGCTTACGATTTTTTGTATTTCATTGCACGCTCACACGTATCTGATGTGACGTAGTGTACATGCGTATAGACCAGTGCCATTTCTGCATCCATGCCCCACCCGACCAGTTGACATAATTAGCGACCGAGCGTTAATTCGAATTTTCAATGCACGCTGACCCCCCCTTATGGGTACAGTGTCACGCCAGCCGCTAGTTAGTCCAAAGAAAAATCCACGAGGTTTCCTTTGGCCGTACGCGGAGTATCCGACGCGGTGATGAAATTTCATTGTCATAAAAATGCCATGACGCAGCCATTAGCATAAGTCCTACTCCTTGTGCTCTCTTTCTATCCCTCGAGCGCTCCTATACTTACCTCTTTGTTCTTGAGGTTGCGCACGACCATGCAAAACGGCAGATTTTCCTTCCCGGCCGCCTTATTCGGGTTACCGCGATGCACGTAAGAAGTCTGCGCACCGATTATTTTTCTCTGGCTTTTCATCCATGAGAGAGAGAGAGAGAGGGAGATAACTTTTCTCGACGATTTCTTTTCCTTCTCTTGACCTCTCTCTCATCTTAAATCTCTTTTTTCTCTCTCTGTCTCGTATTATTCCTCGTGCAAAGCCATCTCACGAGTTACGAGCATTTCGTTCTTCTTCAGGTCATTGACCTCTGGGATCTTACTATGGGATCAAAATTACCATCCGCCCTTCCTTTTAATTCTCACCCTACCTCCAACTTTCCTTCATCTGTTTACTGATTCTGCACGACTCTTGTGCTTTAATCTTCTACCGAATCTCTGCGTTAACCCAGCCACCGCAGGCTGCGATGTTTAGGGAAACCTTGAACTTGTATCCGTAACCGAGAGATACGAAATTAACTAGAACGAGACATAAAGATCCAACCTGAGGAAGCCCGTACCTAGTTTTTCCGTCGATCTAGAATACTGGAAAATGTATTGCAATCCTTTACTCTCCGTACCACCAACATGTAGTAGCTCTTCCAGAAGTCTGAGCTCGCTCGTCAAAGGAACAATAGATAAAACCTTCATATATAAGCTTAAAGTTCGTCGGCACATATGAATGCAAAATGAGAACTGATGATATATAACTACATACGTAGAACAGTTTTTACCTTTGTTCGATCCAAGCACACACTGTCACGCTACATACGCTGTGTCCCAAAAGAGCCGTAAGTAGGCTACAATTTTGGGACACCCTGTATACCTGCTCGCTCCCATTCTCCATTTTTCAAGAAGCCTCGGGGTTTAGTCTGGCCCGAAGCTACCTTGAATCAGAATTGTCCCATGTTCATTGGAAACCAACGTGTCACGAGATCGAAGCATTTTAACGTAATTCCAGCGATACTTGCTTCAGCAAGATTTTAATAAAATATTTATTAGCGTTTCTGCCGAAACTATGAAATTTTCAATATCTCATGATTTTTCAGTGACAAAAATTATATAAAAGTATTATCCATTTTTTTTTACTTCCTGTCGACTAACACGTGAAATTCGGTAGCCTTCAGGAATTACACGTCGGACTTTATAGTCTCGGAGGTGGTATTTCATTAGCTTTTACAATCCCAGGGGATCGGATTCACGTTAATCGACGAGAATGACGTTTCCCAATGGGTACCCGACGACGTATCGTCCAAGAGAAAACTAATATGTACCTTTCCTCGATCTAAGAAGAGAACCGAGTCTGTGATATATCCCTAGGAAAACACTTTCCGGTCTATTCCAAGAGTTACCCGCAGCACCCGCGCGGGGTAGCATCTGGACGAATGTAAACTAAGTAACCTTTACGTGCGACGCGCGGATGACGGATAGAACGCCGGGGGATCGTTAAAAAAAAAGTTTACCCAAGGGAATAACTTTCTTTGAGTTCAACGTCTTCGCATTCTTCCATGTTAATGTCTCTGTTGATTTTTTTCAAATGCTTTTCAAATTTGCATTACGTACGATGGGCGAGAGTGACGGAACTTTGCAGCGGTACATGCCACCGTGACGTCACGAGGTCGCGTCCTGAAACGAATAACTAGCGTGCTCGGATCAGGGAACGCTTTGTCGCCCCCGGGTGGGGGGGGGTGGGGGGGGAGTATCGACGGAGATGCGCCGGCCGCGAACTCCTGACTCCAAAATTGAATATAGCGCGTCAGGGTTATTTTATTGTAATTATTTTATGCTCCTCGTACGCCTAGTCACCATTAATGGAAACACACGTGGTGACGTCGCGAAAATGACTCAAGTCTCAAGAGACCGTAGGGTCTCGAGTCTCAGGACAACAGGTCACAGTGCACTACTTGGAGCAGGAAATAAGGGAAGACGGAAGGATGGCCTGTTTTTGCGACACGAGATGTTACGTGTGCTGCCTTCGTCGGACACGAATAGGACGATTAATACGTCAGCCAAGGAGGACAGTTAACGAAAGTCTAGCTGGTACGGTTACGTACGTGTATTTGACGTATATACGACGAAGGGGATTGCCGAGTGACTTTTTCACGTTAAATTGTTATACCTCTCGTTGCATACGGTGCACGTGAATTTATGATAATTTTACGCGGGAGAAAAAAAGTTGAGAGAGAAAAAATTTCAACGATTGACACGCTTTGCGAAATTTCCATGGAATCGTAGGTAACTTTTTTTTTTAGACCGTTTGAACCTACGTGCTTCTCTTATGGCTTTGTGTTATAGCTGTCTGTCGCGGTTGCTCCCTGGAAGCAGATAGGGCATGTTGACCCCGGGTGTCTCGTTGCACTCAACGACCACGAACAATAAAGGTTTATTGTTGACGAGAACGAGCCGAGCGATTGCTCGCTACTATAATTAGTCCAGCCGTGACGCCACGTATCGTTCGCCCGCTGACGGTCGTCTGTTGCTGCGTTTTTTCACGAGTGTCTCTCCTATACCTAGACATTCAGATTGCTCGTAACGGCCGGGCAAATTGTCACTGTTCATTTTTTAAAGTTGCTCGCTTCTTGAGGTCGACGGTTGGGAACTTTTTCGTACACAATGACGTCACCCACTGGCTGCTCGTATTTCTTGGGAGAAAGGAGATCCGACATTCGGCCGACTATAACCCGAATCGGGCTCAGTCGAAGGGTGGCTGGGTCCGAGAGCTCGTTACCATCCCCGGCGGCCTTTTAAAGAAGTTTTTTTCTTTTCTATCTGCCAGCTGTTTTTTTTTTTTTTACAAAGCCAAATTTTAACTCAAAACTGTCGGAGTTACACAGCGCGAGTGGCTCTTTAAACTTTTTCGAGCCTCGCGGCTGTAGCGCGTTTTGGGAAAATTGCAATTTAATAGATTTTTTGCACAATCTACGCGCGCGCGTGTATATCTATATATGGGACGCCTATCCGGTGTCGATAAGTTTGTTTTTCAATGACTTATTATTTTTCGCCATTCTTTGTCTGTTTACATTTTTGCTGGCTTATTTCCGTATCATTACTGTTACCTACGAGGAAATCGTAGACTCGTATAGCCACAAAACCGCAATCTCTAAGTTCTTGTCGCATCCACATAGACGAAGCGTGTGCGGTGAACGAGACTCTCGTTTCTCTATGAGGTAAAAGCAAAGTCCGTAACATAACAGAGAGCGGAGGGTGTTGCTGCGCGCAGCGAACGATCAATATCTAAAGGGCGTAACATTGCGAGAAATATCGGGTAGAAATCTGATTTGCGAAATTTTCCCAGTAAATCGAGCGTGGAAAGTGAACGACGACGGATCCTTAAGTTTTTCATTGTTCCGATTTCTTGTAGTCGTTCCGCACCTGCAGGAGAAAGGTATAGACAGGATAGAGGATCGAACGGGAAATGTACTGTAAAAACTCTCGGAAATCCGACACCCTTGCTACCTCCACTCCATAAGCGAAAAAGGCAGTTAAGCATTCGAAGCGACAGCCATTTTGGCCATTACGCCTTCGCCTTGCAAATTGATTCGCCGAGCGTAGTCCCATTTCGTATTTCTATACAGTAAACATTACGTTCCACGCAGTTAGGCACGTATACCTGCCACTTTGATTTCACTAGCTCATTGTCGCGCAACGCGCTACTTGTTTACGTCACTTCCGCTACGGATCATGAAAATTTGACGACTCGTGGAATTTCTTAGGATATGCCAGATTACACAGAGTCGAGTCCTCGTTCGAAATGTTCTTACCCGTCGGCTTGCTGCTCCTCCTCCACGTGGAAGGACGCCACGAGTCTAATTTCCATTTTATTGATAACTGAATAAATTACCAAGAAATTTTAGTACCGGCACTGGGGCACGTTTCCAAATACAGAAACGCGAAAAGGCACGGTCGTAAATTCCGATGCGAACGCCGAAAAGACTTTTCATAAATTGTCTTTAAAATTTGCTCGAAACGCCGACACATTTTTATCGTGATTTCATCCGAAAGCTAAAATTCAAATGAAATTCAAAATGTTAGTTTAAGCTAAAAAACACGAAATTTGTATTATTCTTCAAATTATCACAAATTTTTTTTTCTCAAATTTTAGGTGAACAAAAGATATATATATATATATATATATATATATATATATATATAATTATATCGAAGGAGTCTTATCGGCTAATCATAACCCGCCAGTCTCATGCCTAATTAAAAGGTTCCGGCAGCCTGAAGGTTAAGAGGGTCGTGATTCGCGGACAGCTCGATGCTCCTACCTAACGGCCCTCGTACGTTTGAAGCATCCGCCTGAAGTCTTTACGAGCATTGAAAAAAACGAATTGTCAATTTTTTCTCGTATAGTCACGTTATCGGGCAAACGTCATTAACATTGACGAACATCACTCTAGGTTATGTCATAGCGATCTCTATTAAGGATCATTTTCAGTTGACTCTTCGTTACATAGATAAACGTCTGTCACGTGTATGTGACAGCACACCTCTCTCAACAGCACATGTACCCGATGTAAAGTACCTTAGTTTATTGACATATTCACCTTCTTCGGATCGCTCCAATGTAAAAGCACATACATGCTCGAATCAATAGAATAGAAAACAGAAAGCCATATCTCAATTTTTCCTTCTCCACGTCCCGTTTCTCCCGCGCCGCCCTACAATTAATCGTAGTCATACCTACGCGGACGGACGAGTGCAATTACGAGAGAATCGCTGGCGACATCTGTGTTATTCACAGCTTCACGTTATTCGGGATAACAACGATAAAAAGTAAAGTCCTGATAAGTCAAACTTCCTTCCGCGGCAAGGCGGAAGGAAGTTGTAAAAATAAAAGAAAACAAAGCACAACAAAAAAGGAAAAACGTAACCGCCACGGTAAGGCCTTTCAGTCTCGAAGGAGCACAGTGCCACCTCTGTGTGTTTCGTACAAGCGGCCCGTTGTTCGCGCGCGGACTATAGTAAAGCTCCGATATTCGATTGGCCATCGGGGGCGTGTATACGCGTACTAATTTAAACTTGACTGGCACTTCCGTCCCGTTTAAATGCTTTAAACGTGACTGAAGCCATTACACCACGAGCCGTGAGTCTTGGCAAAATTATCCTTTGAGTTATGCAGCTGGATTTAGTCGGCTGAAACGTGCCTGGAGGTAAACGTGTATTTTTGGTTAAATCAATATGAAATCATACCGAGAGCCAGCAGGAGTACGGTTCGTGTAAACCTGTGTCTTTATAGGTCAGTCGAGAAGGAGCACCACGTGGTAAGCTTAATACGATTTATCCACGTAGTACGAATCGGCTTGACAATAATTCAGTCCTCGGACGGTCGTCTTCGCGTGTAACGTAAGGCGCTGGGATACATCGTAAATGGCTCTTAGAATTCCAAGCAGGATTTTACTAAGCTCCGGCGTTTAGATCGGGTGACCCCTCTGCATATCGTGAACCACGGGCAACGGGAGTTTGACGTGGAAAATTTCGAAATTGTATTAAACCCCTCGTACACGGAGACGTAACTTCGATGTACGTGACGGTTTATAGGGGTTTCGACTAATTTCAATTAATCACGTGACACTGAATTTTCTTTATCTCCGCTCGCCTCGTTTGAGCCAGAGTGGCTGATGGAGACGAGATGGAGGATGCACTCCAATTACTAGATGACGGTACGAGACCTCGCGTTAAGTGCGCGATGCATTATGCAGCTTGTGAATTAAGGTCTTGGTCGCTCGTACGAAAAATAGCGTGAAACTCCCACGAAAATACTTTATATCGTCGCCACTAGACGCGGAGAGTGAAAATGGACTAATGGAATCGCACGGGACACACGGGTATTCGCGTACAGCAAGTCTCTGCAGCCTACGTTCAGATAGCCGGATCATTGCTGTTTTCAGCTGGTTCTGTACTTTGTTATTACGTACTGCGGTAATACGAGGCGACGTAAGTAGCATTCGCTTACGATCGATGCGTCTCATCTGTGATAATAAAATTACATACCGTTCGATAAGATAACAGTCGAAGATCTCATCGTTGTAGCTTGATCGGACAATGGGCTTTTATGTATATCGTATTGTGCATGCAGTTGTATATCCTTTCTGCATGTAGATATAGGTATAGCGACTCCCGTCGCACCGTCACACCGTCTCCATTGTATTTAACCTCGTTCGACAACCTGTATGCTCGTTTCCTGTATCGTTTGGGTATACCGCGTATGTACACACGTTATCCCGTTTCTACGCAGCAGCCTTTTTTACGTGCACCTTCGAGCGAGGATCAATTTACCTCGTTGCGTTACGGCGTTAAATTTCGAATTTACCGTCGACGCTTTTATCCTAATGGTGAACTCCGACGTCACACTTTTGGTCGACGTTACAAGTTCAAGCAAACATATTTCAACATTTGGGACATGGTCTGCTCGCGACAGCCCGTAGAACCAGCCCTTTGATACAGTGTTACTGGATCCACCCTCGTCCGTAACGTCATCGTCACGAACCACGAACGCGTTAATTTCGTCGAAATTTGAATTTCATCCTGGCCAGAGGTACCCACTTGACGTTTCCGGGGAAACGGAACTTCTGACGGCAGCCATGATTTCGCTGGGAACGTTCGACTACGGTTCTGTGGGACGCTCGACGTGAAGTTTCTACGGTGAAAAAATGACGAGGACGGGGGGGGGATACGGTAAGGCCGATAGAGAGGGTGCATGTTATATATAGAGGGAACTGGCCTTTGCCATGGACTTTTCTAATTAAGTTGTCGCTCGACGAATGGAAAACCGATTTACATCGAATAACTTTGTGGAAATATTCCGAGAGTATATATACACATGTATGGCTATCCAGGTGAAAGAAAAATTTGACAGTTGTCATGAAATCACACTTTTCGATATACCATGGTAATCCTAGCCATGTAAATTAATCTACGAAAACCAGTATAGTTCGATTCTGCAAGCGGAACGCGTCTGCCTTCTTTTTAACGTGCACTTTGTCAAATCTTCGTTCGACATATTCTAATTGTCTTGGCAGCCATCGTCGAACGATGCTTCAACCCGAGTGACATAATGTTTTGCTCCTTGCATATATACAACCGCTGTTCTATGCGGTTTACTTAATGATACACAGGCCTGTTCTGTAATGTATAATTCATTTGTATAGCGAGAGCGGATTTTGTTAATACAGCATCTTTGACGCGATCCGATAATATATTACTCGCTATAGGAAGTGGTAAGGTCTGTCGTCATAGCTTTATATATTAATTCGAAAAACTGTACGGTCGACGTGTAATATGTCCGGAATGCAACCTTCATGCACCATTGAGTATTTCAGTCAAGTAACTTTTGCTGTACGTCAGACAGTTGCTCTTTAGCGCGGTTTGCAGTTCAGGTCTGGAGGATCAAGAAAAACACGATCGATCCTTGAATTAATGTGGAGCACGTGCGTCGTGATGTGGACTAGTGGAGCGTTTGGTATCCTCATGAAATTTAAGAAGCTCAATTTTGAGATACCTCAGGGACACCCGTAGAATCCTTAAGGATCGTTGATTACCCTACGGACTTGGAATCCAAATCGAGCGGCAGCTGGTTTATTTATTTGTCAGGCTCGAGCTATAGGATAAAGACGGAAGGACATCGTAAAAGCGATTTGTCTTTATTAAATCAACTTGATTCTCCTTTTTCTCCTTTTTCATCTTCTTTCCCTGAGCTCTCCTTGCCCCCGGCTACTTCTTCGACAGGCTCCCAAGTGATTAGACCAGTTCTGTCCCGGCTCTTTTTCTCCGGTTGATTCATTGAAATCGATCTCGATCGTTTACCCGCGCCTTGTGCGAGATCATGGGTATTTGACGATTTCGAAAATTCTTCCAGCCAACGGTACCTAACGGCCGGAAACGATTGCCGGATACCAGACGCCGCATACGTTGTCGACGTATCCGTTAAAAGGTCGTCCGATCGCGCAGACTAATGGGGTAGCATTGGAACGTTACGGCTGTTAACGGGAAATAAAAGCGCACCGGGAGGTTTATTGGCTATCATTGGCTCTCATTCGAAACATTCATTTAACTCCTTTATGTCAGTGAAAAGACTCTGCCACCAAGTATAAAAGAGCCGACGAGCATCGACGCCCTCGTGTAATCCCTGTAAATACCCTACGAACAAACGTCCTAGACGAGTAATACGAAACGAACTAGAAAATTAATATCTGTAAATTCGTTCTGTTCGCAGGTATACAAGCATGGTATGATAAAGGGAAATTAAGAAATCCCCAAAGATGAAACCTCTTATCCTAGTGATTTCCTCCCTCCTCCTTCTATCCCTGACCCTCGGCTTCACCCTGCAAGAGGATGATCTCGTCTTCGACGACGTGGGCGAAGAGTCCTCCTCGACCGTCCCTCATTCCCACGACGATCGTCACGATCATCGCGAGGATCATCCGAGGAACCGCGACTCCAAGAAGCGTCACGTCGAGAGACTCTGGGGCGTACCTCATATAGCGATCGTGTCGGCGGGACACGTTTTCAAAATGAAGATCCCGCGACTGGCCTTCAGCGGAAACGTGGATCATTACGAGGTGAGTTAGCCCAGTCGATTCCTGGACGGAAGCCAAGCCATCGGTTCTCCATTGTTCCTCCGGGATATTCGCTGGGAATTCTCAATCGGCGTTTACTTATCTTTACCTTGGAAACAATGTGGTGGCTCCGTTACCCAGGAGGAACCATTGAACATCTGGCGGGCTATAGACTCGAATATCGGGAGCCCTCCACTTTGCATTGCTTATATCGAGGATCATCCGAATGGATGGGTACCGTTTAATCTTGCTGATCTTCATTCCATCTATTTGTCCACAGGCACGCGGTGGCCTCGGGAAACCTCTGGCACGTTGGCTGTATTGGGACGAGGCGGCCTCCACGTTCCTGGGCGTTCCGTCGACAAAGGACATAGGACAGCACTTTGTGAACATCAAGGCCTACGGGAGGCACGGCGACGTCGCCAAGGATGGCTTCGCGATACAAGTAATCCCCGAGGGGCGCGACCAGGTCGCTCACAAAGATGGGAGCGTGAGTTCACATTCGTATTTAACGTCCTACGTTTGGTCTGTTATTCGTTCCAGTTACGGTCGGAGACTTCTAGAGTGCGCTGCCGTCAACGGTTTCGCACGATGGCTCCAGCGTACATGTGTCTACTTAAGCTTTAGCTTAACGTCGCGTTGTCGCATTTAAATCCCATAAAGAAATTAGCCCTGTAGACTGTTGCTGATTGATGCCAATTGATACCGCTGCGTATGTACGCCAGCTCCTAGGCACTTTGTCCTGATAACGAACGAAGCGTCGTTGCGCAACCCTGATTCCCTGGGGATCAGATCATCTTGAATATATTAATGCCACTTGGTAGACTCCTTTCGAGCGCCGAGGAGACACAAAGTACCTTCGAATCCTGCCGTGAGGTCGTTCGGTGCATTATCGTTACCTGAATCTATGGATTAACGTTAGACCCCAAAAATCATGGGTGCCTCAGGGTCTTATAAAGCCTTCTTTTTTTCTTTATTTTTTTCAGACGCATTGTAACGAGGGCGAAGATCAAACGATCCTGACGATCTTACTGGACGCAAGATACGACAGTCTGAAGCCTTTTGTGAAGGTCGACGCCATTGAGAATCTCGCCGGATTTCTCGGATTGCACACGGTACGTTTGTTTTATTATAATGACAAATCGTCAGTCGCAAAGAGAGTCGAAGACCCGTGTCTCTGCATGGTTTTCATATATATCTCGCGAACTGACTAATAGAGAAAAAGACATTACTCTTAAAATTGGCAGTTACGTTGATTTACATAAACCAGAACAAGACTTTGACTTAAGAAATACATTCTGCACCTGCCGAGGTGGGTCGCCTCGCGAGGAACCCCTCCAAGGAGAACCTCACATTGGGCACGTATGAGAAACGAGCCTTGGAATGCGTAATACACGTCGCCGTCCGTATTAAATTGAGAGTTCGCCGACGTGGGAATATCTTTCAATTTTCAGTATCGCGATACTCTGATCCCCGCACAAAGGAGTATGTAAATCCGTCAATCCTCTCGACCTCAGCAAAAGAGCCTTTCTATCGTATAGCGCAAAACCTTATTTGACTCACTTTGAGTGTACCCGAAGACCAAGCCAGAAAAAAAGAAAGAGAAATGCCTTTTTCCTCCACCAATCCCATGTTCTTTGGATCACGTGTCATACTAATTTGACTTTATTTACAGAGTGCCTTTTCTATTCATCCGCACGGTGCCAAGGACACTCCAAGCACTGCTGATTCCTCCGTGATCCTTGCTGGTCCAGGAAATGTCAAGCATCGCTGGAACAAACATTCCTCGATCATCCAATGGCAGGTAAATCAGAAAATAACAAATGAAATATCATTACCCCAAGTCCAGCTCTCAATCGATCAGATGATGCTGAGAATCATTCGGTAGCATCTCGTCCCAGTCGCACGTCAACTTGGTTCTTGTGCTTCTTGTTCCACGTAACAATGCCGTTTCGTTAGGGTGATGATTCTTCATTAAAAGGCCACTCCGTGCACTAGCGAATGGCATTACATCCTTAGGTACCGGTGCATATTCATTGAGTTATCAATTTAATAGTATCGTTTAGGTCTGAATACGGCAGTTACATCCTGTGGACGATGGACTGCACAGATTTCACATGCAAACTTTGCTCAAACGGTAATGGAAGGCAACAAGATGCATTTTGAGGCCGCCGCTCGTGAGCTGCTCAATTCAGAGAGGCTTTACTATGTAGAGCCAGGCAATTTGATTCGGAAGCTTCAGCCCCTTCCTTTATCTTCTATGTTATACGTATGCTCCATCCTGGAGCGAATGGACCTTGGTCCTATAGATTTAAATAACAGTAGAGACCTCAGGTACGATTCATACGTTGGACAACGTGTCCTAGATTCTCTACCACTATCGGATATGGGATTTTAAATATTTATATTTGTTTTTCACATAGCTGAGAGCACTTTGGAACACCTTAGCTACTGCATATATATATATATATATATATATATGTATATACACACACTTCGCACTGATTACTGAGAGATGGCTTTCACGTTTTATCTTCGTAGGTGGGCTGCGACGGTCACTTGTGGCGTCATCAGGCTGACTTGGTAAAGCAGCTGCGAGAACAAGCCAGAGACGGTACCATAGCTGAGGTTCTTCAACTTCCCGTACTTCTCTGGCACATTAAAACCGACTCGAGTTCTCTTTTGAGAAGTCGTAGAGATATCGGTTCTGGGGATTATGGCAATACCGATGACTACGAGGCGTACGACGAGTACGATGACTACGGAGACGGTCAAGGGGAAGACGATGACGAGAACGAAACGATTACCGAGCTTCCCGAGGAGAAATTATTACATGTATATGAGGCAAACGAACCTGCGGAAGCGGAAGCAGAACATCCCCACAGGCATCATCATGGCGAAGAGTCTATAGACTGGAAGGTAATTTGCTACTGACAAACATTCGTTTCCCTTTAATAAGATTATCTAAAAAAAAAAAATACTGGTTATCTGTGACTAAATCACGTGTTTTACTTTGAAATTTCACGTAGGTCGAGGAAATCGATGAACAAGAAATTGTTCCAAGAGTTCTAGGAGGTATTCAGAATTCCGTACCGACCGCAACGAACCAGACGGTAAGTCATTATTCCACATGTATAATTGCTATCTTGGGTTTCTACAATTGGTTAAAAAATTTCATTCCACAAGATACGTCTTTGATTGGCTTTTTCTTCATTATTTGCTTTCTTCAATTTATCCATTCGTACCTCGTACGCTTAAGAGGAGCAACGTGCTTTCGAAAATTCCTCTTTATGCCTCTATGATGATACAACCTAGATACCGAACGCCTACGCCTACGGCCTCCCACACGGATCGTCCTTGGTCATTAATCCTTACACGTACCATCGTAATAACGCAATAGTATCTGTCCAATGAGTTACGTGTTCCTTTCTTGTCCATTGAATAGAACGATCCGTGTCGGATTAGTCAGGAGATTGAAATTCAACAAGATTTTATGACCTTTGCGGAGGTCTTCGGGAAATGAAAAAGAAAAAAGATGTCTAGGCTACATCATTCGCTATCTTCGCTCCCTTAATCTGTAACTAACAATGTTTTCGTGCCATACATCGCATCTACTAACAATTTCGCAGACAACCATGCAACCGACAACAACGCCGCCGCCATCATCGTCGCTACCTCAAACAACAGTAACGACCACAACAACCCTACTGACACTTCCAATAACATCGATTCAAGAGAAACCATCGGCAACGATCATTGGCACTAACACGAGTGCAGCAACAACCGCCACTCCAGCAACAACTGTTATAATTAGCACAACAACAACAACAACGAAACCCACAACCATGCCGCCAGTAACAGAACCTTCTAAAACTGATGGCACCGAAGAACCCACAGAGAGAACGAAACGTATTGACTTTGAACTTGAGACTGTTGTACCTACGACTCCTCCCCCAAAATATACAACCACTGCATCACCCACGGTAACAACCCTGCCACCAAGTACAACCAACGCATTCGGTCCGGATACGGAGAGGCCTGGAACGAATTCGACTACGGTTATTCTAAGTGTCACGAATGAAGAGGTAACGCTTAAACGCTTCACGCTTATCACTCTCATTTTTATAATAATCCCGCGTTCTGCTTTGCGTCGCGATTCGGCACTGATTGCCCGTCGAATTCGCGGCACTGTCGCTTTCTATCAATGCCGAAGTCATTATAAAGGATATCTGATGGACTGGGCATAGGATTAGCTTTTACCATGAATATTCATCGACCATTCACTCATTGTTAGTAAGGACGGTTTCCTACGTGGACCGTGTTCCCTTATCGAATTTTTTAATGAATTTATCTCCTCCTTTGTGAGTGTAGACGTTGTTGTCTGATTGATATTTTAATTAATCATCTCTTCTCTTTAGACAACCGAACAACCTACGATGCCTACCGTGGGAGTCAAGACGACTGTTCCGGTGACGACTACCGTTGCCACTACTCCAACACCCAGTCCTGTATTTACGACTCCTACTTCTACCGCACGTCAGCCAGCAATGGTTCCTAACACTACAACTGATACGCCAAGACCAACGGTTACCACGACCAAAATGACGACTACTATGAGACCGAGTACTCAATCTCCTGTTGTTACGGAGAAGATCGAATATGGCGTTCACAATTTCCCACCTAGGCAAGACAGAAGACTGAAGAAGATACCAGTTACTGCTGGCAAGCCGCTTAGCTATGTTATCCCTGGGGACACCTTCAGTGATCTCGAAGATGGCGACACTAGGAAACTCAATTTGAGCCTTTATCTTCAAGGAAGTCCATTGAAACCTACCCACTGGCTACAATTTAATCGCCATACTCAAGAAGTTTATGGACTGTAAGTAACACGTGTTCAAGTTTTTTCTTTTTTTCTTTTTAATTCAAATTTGGGCTCACAGTTGTTCTAATCGTGCCAGATGATAAATATACACACCTGAGGAGGATTGATAAATTTTACAGTGAATATAAGATTTTTCATATGCACTTTTGCAGGCCACTCGAGAATGACATCTCTACCTGGGATTATGAGTTGGTTGCTGCCGACAGTGAAGGTCTCACTGTATCTGACAGACTCGATATTCATGTACAACAGCACAAACTAAGTCGCACCGTGAATCACGAGTTTAGTATTTATCTGAGATTGGAAAAACGCAGCGAATATCCTACCAATGTCGATTGGGAGCTTCAGGTACTTTACATAGACTATGATGTATAATATCAAGTATCTATAAGTACGGGTAAAAACAAACTGTATAATTATTGTCATTATATATTACTACAGGTTGTACGTCGTCTTGCTGAATTATACGGAGACAGTGATCCAAGTCAAATAACAGTTCGTTCTATCGAGATGCAACAAGATCAAGCAATCTTCACTTGGACCAATGACAGTCTTCCTAGGAGTAGCGTGTGCCCGAAGGAGCAAATTGACAAATTATTGGACGTGAGTAATATTATCAGATAAGAATTTGCGTGATAAAAGTTACATAAGATATTCGTGAACATTATTCGATGATCGCATGATGTCGCGGTTTTAGGTTCTCGTTGCCAACGAGGATGGTGATCCCAGCGATGTGCTCAAAGAAATTTTAGCACCGACAATCAGAGTTAAGCGAGTCGTTTATCAAGGCATAGGGCAATGCGAGGAAAGAAAACGGCCAGAGCCACCAAAGGTTCCTACAGAGGAACCCACGGAGAACCTTCCTCCTATGCCGAGAAACCAAGTGGATCATATCAACGCAACTGTTGGACAGCTGCTTGTATTCAGAGTACCAGATGTAAGCATTAGGTTACACTTCCTTGACTTTCTTCGAATAAGCTAAAAAAGACTTGTATTATATACAAGATTAGTGCACTTCTTGAATAGACATATAAAAGATTGAGTACATTTAGAAATATGTTAGAAACGTTCCCTGAGTGACTGTAACATATTAAATATGGGAACTCAGCACTATCGCACTTTCAGGATACATTCTTTGACCATGAGGATGGATCGACGCGTAATATGAAGATGTCACTGTTGAATATTGACATGACACCCATCTCGCAAAATGATTGGTTACAATTCGACAGTAAAAATCAAGAATTCTATGGTATACCGCTACATAACAATGTTGGACGTAAAGAGTATCAACTGACGGTTACAGATAAGGATGGTTAGTATAACTTACGATGAACATCATTATATAGGTGAAGCTGTAAACAATTATTTCTTAAATATTTACCGTTTCAGGTGCAAGCGCTACCGACAGTCTCGTCGTGGTTGTGCATCCCGCCCCAGTTATGCAATACAACGTGGAATTTTTAATGACTTTGGAAATTCCATACGAAAGTTTCGCACAGTCGGCCTTCCAGAAACGTAACTTTGTCGAAAAATTGCGTGACCTCTTCCAAGACAAGGATACTAATTCTATTGCTTTGGACAGCATCGACAAAGGCAGCACTATTGTCATATGGCACAATAGAAGTTTGCCTACGTCATTTTGTCCCAACGAGGAGATCACCAGATTACGTGAAGTCCTCGTAAAGGACAACAGAACGCTCACGGATAGAGTGGAGGAAGTGATGTGTCCTAATTTCCCCGTGAGACAAGTTACCCTCACCCCCATGGGAATTTGTCTTGGTGAATTGACCGGTATTCATTCACCGGACAGCCACGTGCCGCCTCTCGACGATTCCACTTCCGTGGGAGCATCGCACGATGATTACCTGATCACGTTTGTCCTACCTGCAATTATTATCGCCGCCATGTTGCTCCTTGCCGGAATCATTGCATGCGTGCTTTATCGTCGAAGACGAAGTGGAAAAATGAGCGTCAGCGAGCAAGATGACGAGCGGCAGAGCTTCAGGAATAAGGGAATACCAGTAATATTTCAAGATGAGCTCGATGAGAAGCCAGATCCAGGTAATTGTATTAATTTTTTTTTCTCATAGGATACGGACTCTCAGTGATATGATAGTAATATATTTATTCGCGTTGCAATGCAGGTAACAAGTCGCCAGTTATTCTAAAAGAGGAAAAACCACCACTGCCACCCCCTGAATACCAGAAGAGCGAGGACGGTGCAGACGTTCCTATGCTTCAGAAGGAAAATTCAGAGGAACCTTATCAACCACCACCTCCGTTTGCTACGAATCGAGATAACAATCGTCAGAATCGACCAAAACCAACTCCCACATACAGAAAACCACCACCGTACGTGCCCCCCTAACAAAGCACAGTGCACTCACCAACTCGCAAGTACATGCTAGCAATGCTCGGAGATTCCCCAACACACATGCAAAACCAAAATAATTATCAGAAGATCAATCAGTTAAACGGCCAGAATGACAGCTACGCGGCCCATAACATTTATAGCAGTCGATAAAGTTTACGTTCGGCAATTTCTTAAAAGCAATGAACGATCGATGGATTCCTTTTATTTTTATCTCTTTTCTTTTTAATTGTCATCTCGATCGACATTTGGAGACTGCGTAGATGCTCTGTTTTATTACGCTATACATTGATATATATATATACACGTCGATCAAGACACAACGAAACGATCGCGTATCGTTTCTATCAGAACTTGAGCCATCGATCTTTCGTGAAACATTTTTTACTCACTATTTTAACTTCGTTTACGATTCTACAGTAGCGGATATGGAATACAAATCACGCGTTGCCTTTCGTAACGAATTCCACTCTAGACTAGGGCAGACTCGAAACAGCAGCAAGTACTCTAATTCAACTAGAAAGGTGAGACCGTTGGACGATGAAGGGCAGTGAAAAGTTTTTTTTTTTTCTGTCGCAAAGAAATGCCGTGGATACGACAGTAGAAACGTTCACGCGCGCGCACTCGCACTCGCACATCCTCGTACACGATATTGATGAAATCAGTGCCATTTATTAAGCAATAAGAATATATCGAATTGTGAATTATCCAGGACAGTATGCATACTTATATTATGATTAATACATCTGCGAATATCTACGGTTCGCGATAATAACGGCGATGCAGTCTCCAAGCAACGAGAACTCGAAAAAGAAAACTGTTACTCTATTATACAAAGTACCTACTACGTAAAACACTGCCAGAAATGATTTACGAGGACAATGAAATTAAGGGAGAGAAAGAGAGAGAGAGAATTAAGAATCATAAAGCAGTAGTGTGATCATACGAAATCGAACAGGTCATCTGAAGTTATGAGCTTACGTTCGTGCCAATATCATATCGATATTGATTTCACAATAATTAATAATTTAACCTGTTCGAATATCGTTGCTGATGTAGAAAAGACGTACGAGTGGCGAAACTTAAAAAATGTTTTTCTCAAAGAAAACAAAGTGACTTAATGATACCGTTTTTGATGTAACGTCGCTGCATATTGAACCAACAAATGCTTCCATTGGCGCTGTAGGCCATGCAGAAATAAAACTGAAGAGGAAATAAAATGAATAATATATAAATACGTATACACATTAGCCGTTCATCGTTCGATAGACCTTCATCTGGTAGATGTTTTTAAACTATGACACAAGAGAAGCGACGTCACTTAAATATGATACTACCGTAACGACTTCGGCACTTGCGGTTTCCTTCGTTGAATCTCTTTTGTCTCACTATCTTTTGCTTCTCTCTCATTGCTCGAAATTGCAAAGCTATCGTCAAGGCAACAAAGCCGCCAGACATGTTTTTCTTTTTTAATTCCCTTACCGCGCACAAACACTCTTCGAACACGTTCTTCGAGGTGTCCAACGACCAATCCTGACTTTTGTATCTTTGAATAACTTAATTCTTTTCAACGGCGAACTGAAAGTGAACGTACACACGTATTTCGTATTCGACTGTGTCACGTTTAAATCAGCGTTGAGAATTTTTAACCCTGTTACAAGCACTAACACATATTCTTGCTCGAAGACGATGAACTATTTAATTTAGATTTTTATATAGTTACCAAGCCAAAAATATCTAATATTAAATGAAAAAAGAAAAGAATGATAAAATGGTGAAAACACTGATCTAACGTTATTACGTGGCCCGTATCATTCGAATGGAATGTACGCCTTGTAATCTTGTAACGATTTTTTAACTTTTTTAGCCCGCTATGTTACTATACGACAATTAAATAATAAAGGAGTTGCGAAAAAGAATTATTAATCGCGTAAATCCGAGCGAAAACTACGGGTCACGTGACGTATGCTCGCGCAACAGTTTTTGTCAATCCGATATTTTTGAAAGGAAATAGGCGAAACGAATAAAAAAAAAAACTCGTGATTCGACTTTGAAGGTACCCGTCATGCTATTCGTAAGTGAGCCGTGACGAGTTTCTGCAAATTTTGGAGATCACTCGTGTGACTCGTGTGAATGATATGCTAATGACGATAATAATTGTGTATGTAAAATGATAAGCGGATGTTTGATATGCTATCAAGGAGTAATTAATTAAACTACAATAACGTATTACTTATTCATTCGTTTCTTTGTAACGTAGAACTTAAGCACGTCTTTTTAATATGGTAACCAAGCCCTTGTCATGTCACGTCTTGTTTATCGCAAGGATGGCATCTTTTAATTGGCTACGTGATACATACTTTTTTTTTGTATACTCTTTTGTCTATACATTTTGATAAGCGTCGGATCTCAAATGGGTAAGCTTTCGCGTCGACAGATATCGATAATATCGTGATAGACTTTTCGATTCCAACCGTCTGTTGTTGATTTTGCAAGTCCTGTACTTACAGACTCGATTAAATACTTGAAAATACGAGCTGGCCAATTGGATACGTATTCTCGTTTAAGTAAGAGCTCGTAAGAAAAAGAAAAGACGGAAGGCAGGAAGGAATAGCATACGTAGAAATGGTAGTGTACGAAGACACTTCATTGAGACTTTTTTGAGTACTTTGATCGATGAAAATTTTAAAGGAACCCACAGTAGGTTTTTGTGTTGCTTCTTAATAAGTAATATACAGTTTTCTATGTAATCTGCGATAAACAAGAACAGATCATATCATGCTTTCCTCATATCATTGTTCTACGCATATCCATCAAACGCTACATCGTATTATGTAAAAGCGGATGTTATGTATCATAGGCGTGTACGATATTTATAAGATGGGCAAAAACAACAAAGAATAACAATACAAGGGGTAGAGAATAGCTTTTCGCCCAGCTTTCGAGTAATTCGGAAACAGAGAGAAGTCTGAGTGCGCTGACCTTCGGATTGTCCAATTGATAGTAGGATGGACGTTTGAGCGGTGGAAAATATTTTGTAATTGTAAAAAAAAAATGTGATCTCGACGTTTCTTATTTGAATCGCGCGCGTCTTTTTGATTCTTGCAGATACGCGAGTGGAGAATTAAGACGCGAATGCGATGCACACGTCAGGAAAGAAAAGTTCCACGAAGAATAATGTCGCGCAATGAATGTCTTATACATATACCTAATATCGCCTGGAATTTTTAAGATTTTTTTTTGTTCTTCATAACGCTTTGATAATAATATATAAACGTATTCATCGGTACTTGTGAAAGTAGGTGCATTTGTTTTTTTTTTTGTATCGAGCGTCGAGGCACCCAGTTGAAATTTGATAAAGGGACTATAAGAATCGGAAAAAAAATATATCGACTCGTGACGAATCTAACGAGTAATTTTAAATGGGAGCCTCGTTACAGTTTTACGACCATATAATTATATATCGTCCGTAATATATGGAAGAATATTGAGATAATAATATACATATGCAGATAGGTCTGACAAGTATATATTCAACACGTGTAAAGTTAAAAGTTAATAAAGTCATTTTAGGGTAAACTTTTATTTTGTGTCAGAAACTGAATGCGACTTTATAATGAAAGTGTTATTTGTTTATGATGTTATTTTATCCTGATGGAAACATCTGTAAATGCTTGAAACAATCATCAATCATTGCATTTACGTCAAAATCGTATGAACGTTATCATCAGATCTGACCGTGATATCTGTAGATAATCTAATTAGATGTGGATCAATTAAATCTATCTAACCATCTTTGATATGCTTATGTATACGGCATACGATAATATCATGCAAAATCATACGATAAGGGGTGTTTCCAAGTTTGTTTGTCTTTGTCAATTTTTTTATTACACCGTACACACGAATATGGCACGTCACATGTCAAGAAATGAGAACAAACAGCAATGCAGAGGGGTACAGAACCAAAAAATAATGCTATTGTAGCGTTATCGTTAGCTATATCACGCGGACTCTAAATTTCTATTAGCTATACGCTTATATACTCGCAAAATGTAATACTTTCTGTAAACCTCAAAAATTCACTGATAATCCAAGTAACATTACTCATATTAGTTTTATCCTGTCACAAGATCGATTCTGACAAGAGATCTCAAATTAAAAGTATACAACTTGACTGGTGTATATCGTGAAATTTATTATCTCAAAATTTAATAACAATATTCTGTTAAAAAAACGTCAAACTAAGGTAAGTGGTTCTGTACTCACGTGATTCTCCACCATTTTTTCCTAATACATTTTTCCAACTCACTGTACTCGTAATTGCAGGTATAATAAATTCATTACCTTTAAGATTACATGATGACAAGTGAGAATACAGTCTTTCCTGAGTTACCGTTAACCAATAAATAAGATGATACTTTCGAAATAGCTACCTGGACAGACTTCTATCAATTTTCGTTATAAAATTATGTATAAAGCTGTGATCGTTTATCATCTTCGGTACGTGCGTAAAACCTTAAATTATTACGTATTTCAGTTGGAGCGTATAATCTAATAAAACGTGCCACCACCCGTACAACTTACTCAGGTGGTATGATAGGGTTTTATTCAATTTTGCGACAACATAACGTAACGAAAGACTCTGAAAAACACGAGTAAATATGCCAAAAAATGGTCCCGAGGTGTGCTACAACAGGTACGTATACTGATTCTGTCTCGTCGAGCGTCAAACTACGTGTTGATCAATTTGTTCATTAGCGAGAAGCAAACAGAAATGTGTAACGTGTGACGTCTGTCATGCAATGATAAAAGCACGTGCTTGCGCGATTCTTCAACAAACCTCATGACCAAATGACAAGAAGATTCTATCATAAGAATAATGATATTTTCAGAGACCGTTATGTTTATCGTAACCACACTTCTCTTTCTCTTATGACAGTTCGACATACCTCGAGCTCCGTTACGTATTTTATATCTTGTACACTGGTGGAGATGATCGAATCCAATGCATCTGACGTAATTGTCCATTTTCAAAATTACTATTTTCCCACCAACGAAGCGCACGCCATCTTTTGAGTTACGTAGTACTGTCAGCTCACATTCCCCATTCTCTCATACCCGAGCGAATAAAATGTCCGATGGTTCTTTATATGGACTAGTATGGACGCTTCGTTTCACTATTACGGATTTTCAACTGCGATTCCTTACTGCGTAAGAATAGGCAATTGTCTCGTGTCAAGCGTCTGATTTGAGGTTAGAATCGGACAAGTATCCCAGACGATACTTGGCGGTATTTTGTTGTAGCAAGCTCGGCGCAGCAATGCCTTTGTAAACTGGATATTAATGATAAACGAAATGGTAAGTACGTTATTCCAAACCGGAAAAATGTAATAACTATGAGATTCTATTTGCAAAGCATTATTTTACTACAAGGACTATTTGGTCATGTCAGAAATCTGTTTGACGTTATTCGTGAATCACAATCGAATTAACATTAATCGAAAGATGATTTAGTTCCTTAGGAACACAATAAATATCTGTCATACCCCAGCAGGTGGTAGACCTGATTAAAACGATACTTTAATCAATCATTTAAAATTTTGCGAAAAAATTGTTTCTAGGCTTCTAACCATAGACAGAAAATTACATTCTGAATTATTTTCGAATTTATTACGAAACCATCTCAGAACCGAAGAGGATTATACGATTATAAGAGACATAACCGCAAGACACTTTACTTTGAAGCTTAAATAAATAATTCCTGCAAAGAGAAATATTCCCTGTCAACGTTCAACGTGTGACGTAAGCAAAACCGAACAATGTTGTCTTTCCTCATTACATATTACACGTGTTGTACTTACAATCATATCCAATTATCCGTCGTTGTACATTGGCAAGACTTTACTAAATTCATCTTAAGGATACTGTATAGATATGAGAGAATCCTTTGCAGTTATTATCGATATGCAGAGAAATCAGTAGTCCATAACTATTTGGTAAAAAGGGGGACACGCTGTGGGAACGATCATGCAAAGACCTCGTGATCAATAATAGTATGTTAGTTGTTATCGAAGAGTTGATTTCTGTACGACACAGATTGAGGGTTATCATGCTAATCGCCGATTTATTTCGTTATCGTACATACACTCTGTGGTGCGCACAAAGTTTCGACATGTGTCAAAAGGATGTACACTTCACACTCGCGTTAATTAATTATCTCGATAAATGGAACCTATGACAATTACACGTACATTGGATAACGATATTTGCGATGGTCAGATCATAAGATTGGCTAAATTTTTTTTCTGCTGAAAACATTCTCTAGTAATGGAGTGGAAAATTTTTAGATTGATCCTTTTCACAGGTCGATTAACAGCTTTTGGCGTTCTTGTCAATTTTATTTAAATTTTTGGAATGTTTTTCTCATCTAAATACAATCCACTTGCTCGCAGGCGGAATGCATGAACAATTGTTTGCATAATGTGTAATAGTTTCATCATGCAGCTGTCTTATTCTCATAAGGATGCTAGACTTATAAAGGTCTTATGCATAATAAAGTGCTCGTCTTATGTAATTTCGTCAAGATAAAAGCAAAAAGGATATTGGGGATACGCAACTAAGCTAAGAAAATAGCTTTACGTCATCTTCAAGATACTTGATACTCTTTGTAAAAATAATATGAGAATTTTCAGAAGTGCTCAGAAAAACAGCACCAATAATAGCATACCTTTGAGTGATACGGTAACGACGTTTCGTGTCAAGAAATAGGTCCTGAAATATTAACAGTCGTTAGAATTATTAGCGTGCCAGGAATAGCAAGCGTATACTGACTGATTGGAAGCATCGGTAAAAAAGTTATCGACGTCACTGATTCATCGAGTGCAGAGTCTCTCGATTATTGATAGTTATGAAAATATCGTCGATGACTTTTGCAAACAGTACCCAGACTGCTAATCTGATTTTCGAAGTGCTACTAATTTATTCACATAGGCTTAGATATAAGATCACTCATTTTAAAAAAGATCTGTTCATCGGCATCTATGTCGTTTCGGGCCAAAGATTGGAAGACTTACTACACAGCGGGATGTCATTAGGCTAATCATAAATTAGCGATAACTCCACTGGAAAAATATATGCATTGGGTTAAACAAAAGTAGCTTAGGGAATGCAGTCACGCATAACATTCGCGACAAACGATATAAAACTCGAATGGCCCCTTTTACGTCAATCCAGAAAGTATGAACCAATGTTGCGGAGAGCGATGAGTACGATTAAAAAGTTCAAATGCAACGATGATGATTTCTTTGTTATTTTTTTACCCAAGTGACCCGTCCCCTTTATCACGTAAATACATCGATGAGATTCAAGTTCATTTCACACGATGGTCAACTACGTATATGTGAAAAATGATATTCATTCGTTATTCTTTGACTGGAAAATGGTTGCGCGATTTTTGTTTGAAAAGCACTGACTTCGAGTGTCACATCCTGCCTGCCTACAACTTCTGGGTTAAAGTCGTTTGGTTCAGAGAATAAGCAGTTACAAGATCAGCGTCCGAGCGATGGCATCGGATTTTTTACATCAAAAATAGATATTAATTCTTTATGATAGTGGTATTAAAAATTTCAAGATAAACTGATGTCAGTTATTCTTAAAAAATTAGCCACACGAATCAGCGCTATAAGTTATGAAAAACGGTAAAAAAATATTTAACTCACTTCATCAGGAACTAAATAACAAAATTCCTGGTGAACGTTCAAAGAAAATATTTAAATGTTTATTATTCCGCAGGGTTGCGAAGTCTTTACGGTTTATTTTCCGAAAAGTGCCATAGAATATGCAGTATCCTCCAAGATATACAATCGTCCGAAAAAATCAAGTTCTTAAAATTACTCATTCGGGAGCCATGAAAAGATAAACAGCCACGGCTACAGTTCGGTAAGGTCCTAGCATAGTAGAGTCGCGTGTGCTGCTTTGCCACCACCACGTGCTCACTGCTGGACAGCCATAGTGTAGTAGGGGTGTGCACGTGTAAATATTTACCGACGCATGCGCATAGGGTACGCGTTCTTGGTCACGTGAGCACGCAGCTTTATAAATCCGCTGTTGAGACCGGCCGGCCTTACAACTGCCGAAACAGTTCGAGGCATTGCATACACAGTGTCAAGAGTGTTCTTCAAACACAATAAGAAGTCTTAGTAACAATTGTTTTATATTATCTTATTGAATCAGCAAAAAGTCGTACGCGTATCTTTCACGCAGCTGTTTACATCCGGTTGTCGACGTGGACAAACGTTTCTCGTTCGTTTTCTCGAGCACTCCGTTGTTTCTTTTTGTGAGTCAACAAAGCATCGCACCGACGCGTTACGATTTGCTCGCTGCGTTTTTCAATCCTAAATTCTCGTGAACGGCCCTGCGTGTAGACGCAGCCAGCGATCACTGCAAACCTGAAAAGTTCGACTTAGAAAAAGGGGCGAGTAAGTGGACAAAACGAGCGGGAGTAAACTATACTCGGATCTCAACTTCGCGGACCTTAATTTCTGATAAAACTCCCCGAGATGGCCGGCAGGAACGAATGGGACTACACTCAGAACGGTAAGCAATAGATTTATTATGGACTTGAATTTGTGGTAGAGCGAATAGGATATCTCTTGGAAACTCGCCGAGACGTGTAGGCGTTTGAATGGCAGAGGATTCTGTATATACCCCCTCCCCTGTATAATGCATAAAAGTAGAACCGTGATTCAATCGGTTTAATCTAGTTTTTGTTTTCATTTCGAAATTTGTGATTCGTTCCTTTTTTCTTGTTATACTCCATATATAATTAAAAGAAGAAAAGAGACAGGTAATTGCGTTTAAACCTCAGAGATCCTGTTGCGGCAAAATGACATATTTCGTAGCTGTATCGTGAAAGCAGACAATAATGGCCCATTTCTTAGGGAAAACTATACATATTCGATCGTAAAAACTAAATTTACTCAAGCGTTTCCTGACAAGTTTTGCTTTTTGTTTCTTTCCGTATTTGCAACCTGGTTAATTAAACTGACATTCATGTTTGTACGCTTCTACATCGAATTTCTCAAGACACATTAAACGATTCGAAGAAGCCAGCAATAATATCTGTTCTGAAGAACTTTCCTTTCCTCGTCTTCTTGTATTTTAGGATGAACAAGAAATTATTCCTCGTCGATGCATTATGTAAGTCTGCGTTATCCTTCTGTAAAAGGATATATATTGATCTAGAGCACGCCGTGTCAAAATTTAAATATAAATAACGTAACGATCCTCCAGTTGCAATACTACTTCATGCATTTACACATCCTTTTCCCACGTAAAACATGTCACTTTTACGTTAACAAATGTAATTTGTTAATTATCTATTCCTTTAAATTATCAGTTTGTTTTTACTATTTTCAGTTACCAAGTTTTCACGACATCCATTTCGCCATCGCTTTATATATACATATATATATATATCTACTCTGAAAAGATGGCCGCTCGCGTATAAGTAGAGACACGGACGCGTCTCGGATAAAAATGATCGGTTCTAGTTAAATTACGTGAAAATTGAAATGTTTCAGCGTACGTTTTCAAAATCATGATTCATATTACAATCATATAAAATGAGTAAGAATGACGCTAAATAAATCTCTTGCAAAAGGTAGACAAGCGCTTAACGATAAGGCTTCTACCTTCTTACCTTTTATAAAGGTATCTCGAATGTATATTTCTTTAATGTCGCGTCTGTTTTCGCGTAAGAATTACGTATATGGGCATATGTTTCATTAACATACGAAATACGTCCGTGACACTTGATAAGTTCATGATAAATAATTATCAATATGTATTACCATAATTAATTCAGCGTCTGATCACGGCGCGAACGTACGATTGCTTAGCAGATGAACAAAGCTTGGATTTTAAATTTGGACTTTGGAAACCTGCGATTCATAATTATTACAGCGGTCCGCGTTACGCGTTGCGATGTCCGAAATGAATGTTAAATATTGCCGAGTCATTTTACAAGGGCTAATGAAAATTGTAAACTAGTAATTAGCTACTAACGGTAAAGATGACTGGCTCATCAGATTGTAAGGTTATTGTCTTAGAATGCAGGGCGAGCAGTCGGTGCCAACTGGTAAGATAGTCTTCGTAAAAGAGACTAGAGCTGCAAATGAAAATCAATACTTTTCTTTAGGGTCGACCGATGTACCTACTATACTAACAATGAGGGTCATAGGCCTAGTTTCACTTTGCGGCTTCCGTGCGAACCCCGAAATGCCCTTAATCTAGACCAACTTCTCAGCGCTATCTTCAAATCGTCGGATCTTACAAATTAGATCATGTATTTACATAAGTTCAATGCTTGAAGTTCACAGTGCAGGCCCGTGTAACGAGCATTGACTTTAATTTTCTTTGGCTCCCTTATTTTCTCTGCTTTCTGTTTGACGGGTTGATTCGACTGTAACGATACGTCTAACGCTTGAGAGATTAGCTCGCAAAAAGAAAAGTCGATCCGACGATCTCTTTTTTTTTTTTTTTTTTTTTTTTTT